AAATGATGCAGAAAATGCTGGACGACTTTCAAAGAGAGAGACTAGAAGCTGAGTCTAAAGCCGATAAATTAGTCAATGATCTCTGTATGGCTGTTGAACTTAAACGCTCCCTCCAATCTCAAGATCAAATGAGGGAGATTAATGTTCAAAAAGAGGCTCTAGAACCTAAGACCAACCCTGAACCATCCAATCATCAGGTGCCAGTTCTAGAAGATTCACCAAGTTCTACACCATCTCAGAAACCTGAGAGCATAACAACTCTTGCTAGGGCTACTGTGGTGATGTTACCTGAATACCCTCCAAGCCAAGTCTCAACCGGCACAGTCGTACATGAGGTGGAACCAACTGAGGGAACTGACTCAGAACCACCTACGCACATTCAAGAAAAGGAGGAGGAAATTTTGCCAACGGCAATAAACGACCATCTCCTTAATTGTGTTGAAGACACACCTCCAGAGGAACCTGTTCTGGAGGAAGTAGAGCCCGTTACCTGCCCCCAAGATACCAATGTCCAAGTGTCTGAGCAGGAATCTATAGACAAGGAATTATTTTGCATGGAAAAGCCAACTCCGCTTATAGAAACCTGTGTACATAATGCTTCATCTGAAGATTCACACCATACCTTCTTTGACTTCCTACTTGACGGGTATGACTATGTCTGCCCGAAGGATGGTTGGAATTTAAAGAGTTGGGATGAACTTCTGGAGAGTGACGACGAGGACTCTTCCTTGGGGGAGGGTACGATCATAATCATCAAACCACAAATGGATAGTCAGCCAATTGAAGACAAGGAAGAAATCAATCTTGCTACGAAGGCCAATGATGTGGAACAACTGAGGAGACTTCCGCCACCACCCACCTATCTAGAGTCTCCTCCTTTTATCCTGTTGCCGCCAAGCCGCAGGGACGAGTCAAGGATCCTGGACCTTGACCGAGCGAAAATTCAAACAGGGTGGCATCAGAAGAGAGTCAAAAGGGCCAAACTTTATGACTCTCGGATCGGAAAGTCACGGAAAAAGTGGGTGAGCGTCAAGCTACGGACGTTAAAAAAGCGCTTAAACGGGGGGCAACCCGTCATTCAGATAATTAAATTATGCTTATTTATATTTTACTTGCCGCACCAGTAGGGGGCAAGATTTTACTCGTTTTACTTTTCTGTTCTACAGATGGATGTTGCTTGGATGATTCCGCATGGAAACCGCCGCACATTACAGAACCTGGAAGAGCTCCCCTTGCACTCAGAAGAAGCAAGGAAGAAGTTTCT